AGGGAAGTTAGGACAGGGAAAGAGACAGTAACCATGCAGGAATCCGCTTTCTTGCTTCCTCTCCATGGCTTGCTTAGCTTACATTTTTATACAACATAATACCACCTGCATCACATTATGTGGACCTGCTCACATTAATCATCAATCACGAAAACGCCTCAAAGACATGCCCACAGGCAAACATGAAGTCAGAAATCTTTCAATTCATTTTCTCTCTTTCCAGGTATCCATAGTTTATGTCAAATTGACAGAAATTAAACAGTGTGGTTCATTCATTTTCAAATTTACGAATAAACATATCACCATTAAACCATAATTTTTCTTTTCTTTTGTATCTCCAAGATATCATATTAAATATGATAATATAAGATGTAGTGCAAGTTTGAAAGTCCCAGTCTTTGTAAAATCCCAACTTACAAATTCACTGTCTTTTTTATTTTTAATATCTAAACTCCTCTGTGAGTTTGAGGCCAGCCTGGTCTACAAAGATACACAAAGAAACCCTGTCTCAAAAAAATAAAAAAAAAAAACCCTAAACTCTCTTAACTGTGAGTCCTGTAAAATTCATCATAAATTGTATACTTTCTTATTCCAAGAGGGGAAACATGGAAAAATATGAGATGAGGATGATGATGATGATGATGATAATCACAATTAAACAAAACTAAAATATGACTATGTAAATTACTCAGTGGCCAATATTTGTGACTCATTCCTTAATTAGGGGATCATGCGGCTTAGGTAGCCCACATACTCCAGCTCTGCCAACTGCAGCACATAACTTATCTCCTTGGCTTATTCTTGCTTCCACACATGCTTCTGACCTTCGTTCTTCCTCCCCCGTCTTGAAATTTCCAATATGCTGTGGTCGCCACTGCAACAGAGGCTTTACCTTTACCAGTGGCCTCTTGGATACTCTTCAGGAACTCTGGCCTGTCAACATGGTACCAAGTCTCATCTTTTCTCCATGATGGCTTCTGTCTTGAGTTTTCCATTGCAATTGAGGCTGCACTTTCACCAGTGGCCCTCTATGAGGCCTCACGGTGTCTAACCTCAACTGTTTTTCACAATTCCTTCAATCTTACAACTCTCATATGTGGTGATATATGGTTTATCATCTCATAAAGCTTTCCTGGGCATCAGAATACAAAGCCAGAAACACTAGTTGTCATAGTAGTTGGTCAGTGGTGGCACACGTCTTTAATCCCAGGACTCAGGAGACAGAGGCAGATGCATCTCTGTGAGTCCAAGACTACCCTGGGCTAAAGGAGAGTGAATTAGTCTAAAAAAGAAACAGAAGTCATACCTTTAATTCCAGCACTAGAGAGGTAAAGAAGGAAGAAACAAAGGGTCTCATGTGGCATTCAGTAGTAGGCATTCAGTCTTTGGCAATTAGTATCCAGCTCCATTGAGAATTTGTGGGGCCAGGATTACCCAAGTCTGAGGTAGAGATAAGAGCTCTGGCTGGCTGGCTGCTTTACTTTGCTGATCTTTAGCTTGAACCCCAATATCTGTCTCTGAGTTTACGTTATTTCTGTTTTACTCATGCCCCCAAACCTGAAGCATATGGTCAATATTTATAAATTGCCAAGTTCAGATGACAGAGTAGATGTAGCCTCAGATCCTCATAATTACAGCTTCGGTGTAGTGACCCTGAATAAGTCCTGCTCATATGATATCAAGTTTCTTCTTAATCAAGCTGTTTTTAGCCACAGTTAACTTGTCGGCAAAAGTTCCACTTCTACTCATTCTAAATCCAAAATATTATACAAATATCCCAAAGGAAATTTTGTGTCTTTCAGAAATACTACTTAATCAACAGCACCTCTTGGTATTCTCCTATTTTCTAAGCTATCAAAATAGCTTATTAAGCTCTTAGTACTCAATGGATTTTCTTGTCCAACATTCTAAATGCTTCCACAGTGCTCTCACAAAACAACATGGTGAGCCTGGTACAAATTTCTGTCCTAGCTGTTATTTGGTGTCATAAAACACTGACCCCAAAACACTTGGGAAGAAAGGCTTAGGCATATATATCCTGATCATTGAGGGAAGTGGGGGCAGGCACACAAACAGAAGAGGAACCACAGTGGATGTCTGCTTTCTGGCTTGCTGTCCATGGTTTACTCAATCTGCTTTCTTATATAGCCTAGGTCCACTGGCCCAGGGGTGGCCCAACTCACTGTGGGCTTGGCTCCCCACATCAATCAATTAATATCAAGAAAATGCCCACACAGACGTATCTGCAAGCCAATTTGATGAAGGCAACACCTCCCAGGTGTCTGGCTGCCTCAAGCTGACAGACAAAAATCAACCAGCACAACGGCGCAACTATGAATATGTTAAAAAACTTGCCCCAAACCAATTTGGATTAAATTCAGGACCAACTCAAAATGCATCACTATTCATGATGCTAGTTAAAATTGCAAAATTCTGATGCCTTTCTCCACTTGTTTTTTGTTGTAGCAGCACTCAGTCCAAAACAGACTAATAATGCTAACTTTAGTATGTAAGCCCATAAAGAAATTGGGTAGTCAGGAAATTATCAGCTAATGCACTGAACTCTAGAAGAACTTGTCATTGTTAGAATGAAATAACTTACTCATTTGAGGCAACAATGTGCTGTGTAGAACATTGTTGGAAATAAAGTGTTCCAATCCCAGATTTTACAATAACAATCAGAAGGCCAGGGACTTGGAAATAATATGCCCTAGTTCCCTCTCTTTCTTTGTTGACAATTTATACCTCATTTGCCCCAGAAGCTTTGGCTCTGTTGAAGGCTCCCTGTTTACAATGCATGTTCAGAACATCTCCCTAGAAAGCACAAACTAGCAATGGATTAGAAACCAACTCTGCTTTCCACAGCAGAAATTCAGAAGATGACAGCGTTTCTTTACATTCTACACCCATTCTAGATCATTGTAACATAACACTCCAATTCTAATGAGTAAAGTTTTCTTGTTTGAAACAACATACTCCAAAGCACTGTATTTTGTGCAGTTCATGTGGGCTGATTGTAGATGAGGGGAGAAAAACTACTCTTGCAGAAGATAAATAAATCCGGTGACTTTAAGGTTTGGAATTTATTGTTTTACCTCCTGGGGAAATACAGCAAACAAGGACACACATTATTCTGTCTGCATAATTTGTTTGCCCGATGAAATCCCCAGCCAGCAATTAATATTTCAGGTTCTCTGAGAGTTTAATGTATTTATAGATAATTTGTAAGTACTGAATTTTTAAGTGGTTTTAAATATCCAAGTAAGCAATGTGAGCCCAGAATAATCTGCATGTTCATTTTCTAAACATTTTGTGATAGAAAACATTGCTACATTCTGATCTAATGTTTTGATTTTATCATTTAGGTTTTGAAGTTGCTGTTCAACATCATAGAGGAATTTCATTCTGTTAATTTCAGTAAACCTCTAAGGAATTATAATAATAGTTATCAATTACAGGGAGAACTAATTTCCTGATTATCCAGTGTTTGATGAAAGGATCATTAACTTTTTTAGCATTAGTGGAACGCCTCATCATTGTTACTTTACTGCCTGCACATGCTTATTGATTAATTGACTGTAAAAGGAGGGGTACATATTTCAACCTGTGTTCTTGGATAGGAGCCTTATGGAGTTAGAGCCATCACTGCTGTCTTAAGGACATGATGGTTGGGGAACAGATGAGAACCCTAGAACAGACATGGCTAATATTTCTGAATATTAAAAATCTGGTTCTAAAAACAATTTAACAAGTCCAAAGAGTTGATTTATTCAGCTCATTGCTAACAACCTCAGTTAACTCACAAATTTCAGATTACAGGATGATCTGTAATACTAATTTCATTACAGCAAGACAGCATCTCAAAAAAGAAATTTATTCTCAATTGAAAGAACATGGGCTAGTAAGGTATATCTCTAGAGTTTGCGTGCTGTCTTAGACATTTCTAGAGGTACATATTTGGTAAGATAGTCATTTAGTTATTCACTGGTTATAAAATTTACATACATCGTCAAATTTAATTCTTCTCCATATTCAGTTCTGTATTTTAGTAAGTGCTTATCCAAGTTTAACACTTAGGACAATCCAATAAGTTTCTTAATGGTCCCATTGACCAAGACTGTACTTTTTCTTCATCGTTTATTCAATTTCTTTTTCACACCCTTGCAATTTGTTTTTATTTATTAACATGAATATAACAAATTATCATTAAAGTTAAATAATACATAGCCTTCCTTAGTTTATAATTTATATTTACATAAGAAATAAAATTCGTGTCCATACAAACATCTTTTGTTTGAATTTTGAGAGGAGAGTTATTCATATTTATCCCAAATGTGAAAAAGCTGAATGTCAAATGTTGAATGGACATATATGTTAACTTTGACATAACTAACAGGTTAATACTGTGTGAATTAGCCATTGGTACAGCAACCACATGGATTAGTAAGATTAGGATCTTCCTAGTATACATTAGCAAACTGAGGTGAAAGAGGTAAAATAATTACAATTATAATCTAGACATATGAAAACAGACCACTAGCATAAATATTCTGTCTCTAGACTTGAGTAGGACTGCTTACTAATTATCCGGATTTTTGGTGCTTCTATCTCTAGGACTTTTAAAATTGGAAAGCATGCTACTTTACTTTTTACTATTCATCTATATCTCACCTCTGATGAAAGTCTTTGTTACATCAACATGTGATCTCTGAGTTTGCAGAACTCTAGTCTTACATAATCTAAAGATTCTGAATGTGTTCCTTTCATTCCTAATTCCTGAAAAGTGACTTCAGCTACCTTACCCTGTGACTAAGATCAAGTTGTTACTGAAGTTTTACATCTTTTATATACTGTAATTACTACGGATAAACACTTGCATTAATTTGTTTTTCTTACTAAGACACAGACTGAGAAAAGTAGAATTAAAAATAAATCAAGTTGCAACTATTTATATTTTATTTACAATTTAATGGTTCAAAATTGCCTCAATTACTCTGCAGGGCTTCAATGTGTCTGCCCATATATATCTCTTCCTTGAACATCGTGAGAGGTAGCATCCAACGACTTGCCCTTCACTACACACTTCCAAACACATTTTGTTTTTAAAGTTCAATTGTGAGAAGACTCAAGTAGCAGGTATTTGGGATATTTAGGGGTGGTTTTGTTTGTTTGTTTTTTGTTTGTTTGTTTTTATCCTAATCTGTAGGGTTACAAGCCATCGTGAAAATTTGAAGTTTACCTAGCAAGCTGTATTCCTACTGAGACTGAGTGACTACTGGCCAGCAAACAGTAAAAACACAAGAGATTCTGCGAAATGAGAAGATGTTATTTTTAAAGCAAAGAAGATTGCATAATTCAGGATACTAACTTTTTCTAGTCTTATTGCTCTTGTTCAATCACATAACACTTCCTGTTCACACCAAATTATTTGAAGAGAAGGCAAGTTCCTTATGTATACATGCAATCAAAGCAATATAAGGAAAATACTCAATGATATGTGAAGGAATGGAACTGAAACCTTTTGAAAGTATAAAACTGAACCTGGCCTAGCAGGAATGAATTGTATGCAATTGCGAGACAGGCTGTTAGAAAAAGTCATTACACTCAAAACAGGAAGGAAGGTCTGGAGAATAATTCTAGTCTTTATAGAACACAAGTCAATTTCAAAGGAAGTCATTTACAATGCCTGCTAAGAATAAGCATATGCTTGCTCTGTGACAGAGAAATTTTGGTCTTTGTACATTCAATGCAAATGAGCAGACATTTTCATTTAAAAAGTGCATTGTAATGTTCACCATAAAACTTCACAGAAGCTAAATGTTGGAAATTGCTGAACTTCCCATCAACTGTAGACTGGATAAACTGGCATGAATATACACAATATATATGCTCTATATAAACATACATGCAGTTCAATCTGTATATGTTTATATATGTATTTACAGTTGTGTATACATGTAACCACCTCCAGCTGAATGTTACATAAATATTACAATTATACTATTAGATATAACATAGTTATTGATATTATACAGCTATGCAAACATATACATGAGTCTTGGAAATATGCTAAGGATAAATGATATACTCTCTGACTTTGATAACAAAATGCATGAATGTTCATGTATCTAGACTACACTACTGAGAGTCAGATAATTCTTATTCTGAGGATGGGGAAAATGTTGGGCAGGAGCCTGAAGAAACCTACCAAGGTTTTGTCTCTTAATGTGAATATTAGAGCAATGTTTTCAGTTTGTGAAGATTTATCACTCTAATTATGTAAGCTTCTATAGGAATCTCACACCAATTCCACTTATCTGCTAGTCTCTCCATAACCATGCCTCCGTCTTGTAGTGTGCCCCCAAAAGAAAGTTAAAAAGAATAAAAGTAAGATAAAAATATGCAATAATAAAAATAGTAAAAGGAAAACACTTTACTCCTCAGTCTTTCCCACCTCTCCATAGCTTCTTCATTCATCTTAGAGACTGCCATTAGGAGCTGCAGTGTATCATGTAGTATACTCTTTTGTCCAAACTGCTTTACTTGCCAATCTTCATTATGTAATGAGTTGTTATTCAGGGTCAAGGCTCATGGATTTGTTGCACCATCAATACTGGACCCTCACCAACACACCTCTCTTATATGCTCTGTTGCCTGAGTCATGAAGATCCTGCAGTTATGATTCTGTAGCATCAGTTCGTTCCCACACTGCAAGCTCTGGATGTGTGCATGGGTGGCAGCTGAGTTGGTTAGCCCAGGCTGCTAGGGCCACTACTCTTAGGTGAGGGGAGTAGCCAGATCTCACAGTCGAGGTGAGGGATGGACAAGCTTTCCCAAGTATGGGGGCCAGTTCTCCTATGAGGGACCTGGGCCCGGTTTTCCTTGTCATCAGGATCCATTATCCCAGTGCCGGGAAAGTTCACTGTTGGTTTGCCAATGAGGGGAGCACAGGTCACTCTGAGGCAGTAAGGGGTGGAAATCTGGGCAGTGGTGCCTGTGATGGCAACAGAAGGCATAGAGCTCAACACAGACTCTGGTTGCGATGGGCCATGGCCCCAGAAATGGACCCCAGCCACAGCTCCGCTGGAGTGAACATACGGACCCTGGTGTCAGCTCAGGCCGCACCAATCTGTGTGGTTCCATTTGCAGGGGGAATCCGCACTGCCTTTGGTGGTAAGCAGAGCCTCAGGCATTGATGCAGCCCCTGGCTGCAATGGGGCCATGGACCCAGACATGGTCCTCAGCAGCAGTTTGGGTCTGGTGGACAGCATGACCACAGGCGGCAGTGCAGGCCACTGAAGTTTGCATGGTCCCAGCAGCGACATGTCTCTTAGACGCCAACATTTCCACAGGTGGGGGAACCTAGGCCATGGGTTTCTGTAGCGTTCCTGTTAGGCACCAAAATGGTTTCAGGTGTCAGTCCATACCCAAATCCCAGGCACAGGTGCATTTTAAAATAGAGATGTTAAACTTCAATTCAGCCTGGAAACTAAAGTGTAAGGATACTAGTGAAAAGTAAGTATCGCATGCCTATGTCACATCTCATTGAAACACAGAAGTAAAAAAACGGTGGAGTTTCTGCACTCAGTCTTTCTATTTAACTAATTCATTCACATTCTAAGAGTAAGAGAGGAGAGGACATACAGGCTATTATGCTGGCCAGAGATGGACAGAAATCCTTGCTTGGCAGTGCTCTCTTTAGTTAAGGATGTTGGTAGAGTCTCCAAAAAGTAATCAGTGCCTAAAAGATAGCACAGGTTAGAAAGCTTAGCATAGGGCAATCCACAGACTGAATGGTTGATGCACAAGGACATAATGCAGCTTGCCTTCACTAGAGGCTCATGTTTGATAAGATGCTGGGAGAGCCCTTTGAAGGTTTCCCTAGAACAAAACATAGAACTTAATTAGCTTATATCAAGAAACTAGCAATGACTAAGATTTTTAATTTTTGTTTACATGTTTCAGAACAGGATTGAATAAAAATTGTGAAAAACAGTTGAGTCATAAATCTTTGTGTGTGTTTGCTGGAATTTAAACCACAAAGTAGTACTGAATATTTACAGGGGAAAGATTTTAATAAACTATACTAGAGCAAAATTTTGTCTGTGAATTTCCAGTAATCAGCTCAGTGCTTTGCAGGTAGAAGACTGTCAAATATTAGAAAGGAACAAAAAAATGTATGCCTTTGTGATTATGGAACTTAAATATTCTAAACACGAATTTCAGTGTACAAAATAAAGTCAAATGCAAGTTGCCTCTTTGTTACATTATTGAGAAGAATCAAGTGCTTATTTCCAATTCATTGTCTGATCCATTGCCATACTTTTGTGAAATCACAGGTTTGTTTATTAATATATAAAGGTTTCTGCTCTGATTGTCTTTGTTGTTAGATAATATCTGACAGCCATTCATCACCTTTAAACATGAATTTCAAAACAAGAAATATTATCACTTCCAGTCTATCTTTTATTTTTTATATATTTTAATTACAAACAAGATTGAAAGATTGAATTACTTGACAATCCCAGTTCCCTTATCCCTCCCTTCCTCCCCTACCACCCCTAAACTAAAATCCTACCTATCATATGTCCTTTCTTCTAATCTACACCTGACTCAAACTTTCTGCCTCTTCATGACCTCTGCATCCTTCCTTTGCTTCCCTTCTCACGCTCATAATTTCCTCCCCCCCTCTTCCCAAGTTCTCAATTTGCTCAGGGGATAGCGACCCTTTCCCCTTCTCCAGGGGACAAGGTTTGTCTCTTTTAGGGTCTTCCATTTTTAATAGTTTCTCTGGCAGTATGGATTGTAGGCTGTTAATCCCTTACTCTATGTCTAAAATCCACATATGAGTGAGTACATATAATGTTTGTCCTTTTGTGATTGGGTTACCTCGCCTCAGAATGGTTTTTCCGAGTTCCATCCATTTTCCCAAAAATTTCAAGATTCCATTGATTTTTCCTGCTGAATAGTACTCCATTGAGTACCACATTTTCTCAATTCATTCTTGGGTTGAGGGATATATAGGCTGCTTCCAGTTTCTGGCTATTACAGATACTGCTGCTATGAACATAGTTGAACAGATGGCTTTGTTATATGAATGTGCTTCTTTTGGTTATATGCCTAGGAGTGGAATTGCTGGATCTTGTGGTGGACTCATTCCCATTTTCTTGGGGAGTCGCCATACTGATTTCCACAGTAGCTGTACAAGTTGGCACTCCCATCAGCAGTGGAGGAGTGCTCCTCTTTCTCCACATCCTCTCCAGCATAAACTGTCATTGGTATTTTTGATTTTAGCATTGTGACAGGAGTAAGATGGTATCTCAGAGTTGTTTACATTTGCATTTCCCTGATGGCTAAGAATGTTGAACACTTTCTTATGTGTCTTTCAGCTGTTTTTGATTCCTCTATTGAGAATTATCTATTTAGTTCTATACCCCATTTTTAATTGGATTGTTTGGTGTTTTGGAGACTAGCTTCTTGAGTTCTTTGTATATTTTGGAGATCAGCCCTCTGTCTGATGTGGGGTTGGTGCATATCTTTTCCCAGTCTGTGGGCTACTGTTTTGTCTTGCTGAGTGTGTCCTTTCCCTTACAGAAGCTTCTCAGTTTCAGGAGGTCCCATTTATTAATTGTTGATCTCAGTGTCTGTGCTACTAGTGTTATGTTCAGGAATCAATCGCCTGTAAAAATTAATTCAAGGGTATTTCCCACTTTATCTTCTAACAGGTTCTGTGTGGCTGGGTTTATGTTGAGGTCTTTGATCCATTTTGACTTAAGTTTTGTGCAGGGCGAAAGGCTTGGGTCTATCTATAGTCTTCTACATGTTTACATCCAGTTATGCCAGCACTATTTGTTGCAGATGTTCTCTTTGTTCCAGCATATATATTTGGATTGTTTGTCAAAAATCAGGTGTTCGTAGGTGAGTGGGTTAATATCAGGGTTTTCAACTCTATTCCATTGGTCTACCTGTCTATTTTTGTGCCAACACCAAGCTGTTTTCAGGACTATAGCTCTGTAAAAGAGGTTGAAGTCAGGGATGGTGATGTCTCCAGAAGTTCTTCTATTGTACAGGCTTGTTTTGGCTATCTTGAGTCTTTTGTTTCTCCATATAAAGTTGAGAATTGTTCTTTCAAGGTCTGTAAGAATTGTGTTGGGATTTTGATGGGGATTGCATTGATTCTGTAGATTGCTTTTGGCAAGATTGGCATTTTTACTATGTTGATCCTACCTATCCAAGAGAATGGGAGATCTTTCCATTTTCTGGTCTATTTAAGTTGCTTATCTGTTCTTGATTTAATTTTGGTAATTGAAATCTGTTTTGAAAATTGTCCATTTCCTTTATATTTTCGAATTTTGAGGAATACAGGTTTTTGAAGTGTGATCTGATGATTCTCTGGATATCTTCTGTGTCTGTGGTTATGTCCCCCTTTTCATTCCTGATTTTATTAATTTGCATGTTCACCCTTTTTTTGTTTGGTAAGTTTGGATTAAGGTTCATCTGTCTTGTTGATTTTCTCAAAGAACCATCTCTTTGTTATATTGATTCTTTGTATTGTTCTCTGAGTTTCCATTTTATTGATTTCAGCCCTCAACTTGATTATTTCCTGGTGTCTGTTCCTCCTGGATGTATTGGCTTCTTTGTTTTCTAAATCTTTCAGTTGTGCTGTTAATTCTCTAGTGTGATTATTCTCCTGTTTCTTCATGGGGGATTTAGCACTGTGTACTTTTGGCAAGATTGCCATTTTTACTATGTTGATCCTACCTAACCAAGAGAATGGGAGATCTTTCCATTTTCTGGTATCTTTAATTTCTTTCGTTAGAGGCTCAAAATTCTTACTGTACAGGTCTTTTACTTTTTTGGTTAGTGTTACTCCAAGGTATTTCATGTTGTTTGTGGCAATTGTAAAGGGTGATGCTTCTCTGATTTCTTTCTCCACCAATGTGTCATCCATATATAGTAGGGTTACAGATTTTTTTGAGTTAATCTTGTATCCTGCCACTTTGCAGAAGGTGTTTATCAGCTGTAGGAGTTCCCTGGTTGAGTTTTTCGAGTCACTTTTGTAGACTATCACATCATCTGCAAATAGTGAGAGTTTGACTTCTTCCTTTCTGATTTGTATTCCCTTGATCTCCTTTTGTTTTCTTATTGGTCTACTTTGAACTTCAAGGACAATATTGAAGAGGTATGGAGAGAGTGGACAGCTTTGTCTTGTTCCGAATTTTAGAGGAATTGCACTGAGTTTCTCTCCATTTAATTTGATGTTGGCTGTCAGCTTGCTGTATGTTGCTTTTATTATGTTGAGGTATGTTCCTGTTATCCCTGATTTCTCCAGGACCTTGATCATGAAGGGGTGTGGATTTTGTCTAAGGCTTTTTTGGCATCTAGTGAGATGATCATGTGATTTTTTTTCTCAGTCTATTTATATGGTGGATTTCATTGTTGGATTTTCATATGTTGAACCATCCTTGCATCCCTGGGATGAAGCCTACTTGATCAGGATGGATGATTTCTCACATGTGTTCTTGGATTCAATTTTTCCAATACTTTAATTGAGAATTTTTGCATCAGTGTTCATGAGGGATATTGGTCTGTAGTTCACTTTCTTAGTTGTGTCTTTGTGTGGCTTGGGCATCAAGGTTATTGAAGCCTCATAAAAGGAGTTTGGTAATGACCCTTCTGCTTCTATTGTGTGGAATACTTTGAGGAGAATTATTAGTTGTAATTTCTGGTAGAATTCTGCACTGAAGTCATCTGGCCCTTGGCTTTTTTTGGTTGGGAGACTGCTGATGACTGTTTTCTGTACCTTTAAGTTGGATTTCTTAACCTTCTTCTATACCTATTATTCTTAGGTTTGGTCTTTTCATGGTTTTTTTTTTTTTTGGTTGATGAATCTATTTCGGCTAGTATGTCTTCAACTCCTGAGATTCTCTCTTTCATCTCTTGTATTCTGTTGGTTATGCTTACATCTGAAGTTCCTGATCATTTACCTAGGTTTTCTATTTTCAGAATTCCCTCAGATTGTGCTTTCTTTATTGTCTCTATTTCAGTTTTTAGTTGCTGTCCTTTTTCCTTGAGAGATTTGTTGATATCTTGTATTTTGGTTTGTTTTTTCTTCCATTTCTTTAAGGGATTTTTCTCTTGTCCTCTTTGAGGTATTCTATCATTTTTCTGAAGGTGCTTTTAAGGTCATTCTCTTCTGGTTTATGCATTGTGATGTTCAGGTCTTGCTGGTATATGGTTCCTAGTCTCCTGTGGTGTTATATTGGGTTTTCTGTTGTTGGATGTGCTTTTAACTTGTCTTCTTCTCATCCTTTCTTCTCGTGGGTGTAGCAGGAGATTCTTGCTCTCCTGGTGGGTATGGGACCAAGGTTCTCTTCTGGTAGATGCAAACAGATGCAATACTCTCATATCATTCCTCTTCTCGTTGGATGGAGGCGTGGGCAGTGTTCAGGCGTGTTGGATCTTGCTGCTGATCTTGGTCTGGTGCAGTAGTAGCTTGTGTCAGATGACTCTGAGCAGTGACGAATGGGAACTGGAAATAGCTCTTGGCTTACCTGGGTCAGCGGACGGAGGCAGGATTGCCTCTGGGTGTTGCAGTGTGTCGGATCCTACTGCCGAACTCAGTCAGGCTCGAAGGATGCTTGTGTCCTCCAGTCTATCTTTTATAATCTTAAATCATCCAATCATTAAGGCATCAGAAAAATTCTTCCTTCATTTTCTCTTCTTTAGACAGCTTCAGTTGCTGAATTCCATGGTACAGGAAAAATGAGGGAAAACCAGCTCTATGTACATACACAAACACACACACCAATTTGTGTAGTCCTGCTACTCTACACATTTCCTCATTAAACAACATTAACTGAAAAGTCTTAAACAAGAATCACCAACTCATTACCAAAGAATGCCCCCACTGCCAATTTCTGTCTCTGACATTTAAAGTCCCCTAGTTTGTGTTTTAGAAGCTAATAGCAAGAAGCTCTTCTCCAGTATGTGTTTTTATCTGATCAAAACATAAGCCATCTTCACTCTGTAAGCATCTCTTTGTTATCATGTCTATGATTCTAACAGGGCATAGATCAGAAAGAAATGGGCGTCACTACAAAGTGAAACATACTTTTCCAGGGATGCTGCTTCAGATTATTTATCCAGGTAAATGGGAATTTAGCTACATAGAAACATGCAAATCACAGTTACTCTATTGGTAATTGCCCTATCAGGAAATAATTTAGATGTTATTTGATGAATTGATAAACA